TAATATTCTGTCTTTGGCAGTGGCAGTAGGAAAGCGGCCAGACCAGTTTTTTCTTCTCCCGTTGCCTATTCTGGAGATTGTATATCTCTAGAATCTGCAATTGGCATATAGGTTGTTAAAGGTACATCCTTGCCTATTGTTTTTTGTATCCCTTTATGTACCTATTGTCTAGTAAAAGTATCCAGAGCATCACCTTTGTATTCTGTAAATAATTAAGATTGTTGAGCTCCAGATGATTTGATTTTATAACCTCAGGTTGTAAATATCTCACATTGTGCTGCTGTGAGGTTCATCAGCATTTGAACAGAGCGTTATGATCCAGCCCTCAATACTTCATCTGTGCTTTTTAAACTTAGAGACCTGCGTGCAAATGATTTTGTTTCCTGCAGCTGAAATTGCAACCAGAGCCGCCTTCGGAAAGCAATGTGGCAGCCCATCTTTAGACAAGTGACTTTTCCTGAGCGTGTGTAATATGATAGGTGTTCCTTGTAGGAAAGAGTTGAGTTTTCTTGATACAGCCAGAAGCAAAACAAAAATGTTGTTGTTTTCAAGATGATTAATTAATTAAAATGCAAAAAGTGTAGAAATTAGTTGCGTATGTCTTCATTGTTGTGTAATCCCAAGTACTGAACGTACAAATCTTAATGCGTTTGTTGACTCCATCTCTTCTCCTGCAGCCTAAATTCTTAAAGAATTTAGTAATAATAGACATGGAAAGACTATAGCAATAGTGGTGAGAGATGTCAGCCATGGACACGGTTCCTTTGGGAAGGAGTTTTTGCTAAGGCTGTATAGGAAAAGATGTATAAATTGCACAGATTCTTAATTGTTTCCTCTCTCATATGCTTTTGGCTTAGGGACAAAAACTTAGATAATAAAGCCAGATAGAATCATAGAATAAGTTAGGTTGTAAGTAATCTTTGGAAATCATGTGGTCAAAAGCATTGTAACAGGGAGGGCTTCTTTTGTCTTGTAGTTCTCTTTCTTACAAACTTGGAGAAAACATTTGTAATTCTGAACTATACAAATTTGGAAACAGTTATTTGGATTGTCTAAATTGCATTGCATTTTTACCCTGCTGCTTACTTTGAAATCTCTGGTATTCTTGATCAAAATGGAAAACTACTTGTAAATGTTAAGCGTTCAATTTGATTTCGGGACAAGAGGGTTTAATCCCAAAAACATGCACGAGCATTTGAGACACACAGCTTCTAAGAAGGCTTAAGGGGGACAATTGCCAATACCATACCACTGGGCTCTGGAACTAGAGGTGGTGGCGCTGTATCTGTGTGAAGTTGCCCTATGGGAAATCACAGCTTGTTGCTTTAATGTAGGAGCCGCGTGGCACCAGCTCCTCTATACTATTTCTGGAAGACGATGTGCGATCTTTGCCTGCCTTTGCACTTTACCAGTTCAGTGTAATATTACAGTAGCCTTGGAGCTGCTTGGGTGTATCAGTTCCATTCGTTGTATATAATGTTATATGCCTCGAGTTAGGAAAAAAGGAGAGGCGGAGGAGCACAAGAAGAGGAACAAAGGGCAAAAGTGATTTATTAACTTTCAAGAGGAGGTGTTTTGGGGGTGGGAGGGAGTTCAGTGCAAAACAGGCACATTCCTGAATTTGATCATCTTTAAGCTACTGTAGAGGGCCGTATCCAGCACCGATCTCTTGCAACCTGGAGAAATGTATGGTAGATTGCCTCCTCTGAAAACAGCTCTATTTTCCTACTCTCAAAACGTGGAACAAGCGTTCATATTAAAATACGTGGTTTGTACAGTGGCTGAACAAAGGCTTTAAATGTGTAAGCACCTCCACCTTTTTAACATAGTAAACATTTTAGATGTTTTAAATTATCATCTTTCTATTAGCTCTTTGTAGTTTGACTTGCATTTAGTATCCTGATTTATTCCTCCTACATTGCAGATAGCTAAATGTAGTCTTTGATTTTATTAAGTTGTGTGACATCCCACCCACCGTGGTTCTCTCATCCTTTTTTTCTTTCCTCACGGAGTTTAATGTTTATTTTAAAGCTGCTTTTGATTCTGCTCCTAACATCTGGGATTTCATATGCCTGTTGTTCCTTGTCTTCCTATATTATTTCAATTCCCTGTGCAGTCATATTTCTGAATATTTCTATGCACTTATTATGAAATCAGATTAAATGAGGAGGGAAAAAGAACTAGTATGACATGCTTCAGACTAAGAATGGAAAAAATTGATTTTTTCAATACATAAGAAAAATCCATTGCAAACCTGTACATGCTTTTACAAAATAGGTGTTTATGTGCAACACACAGTAGGCATACATACTCTGTTACAAGGAATTTGCTAATACTTGAGTGAGTTCATAATGATTGTGTCTCAAAATCAGTGTTAGTGTACTTTGCAATTTACTTTGCTGTCGTTGCCTAGTCATGTTGAGTGCCTGACTTTCTGTGGCCTGTCGTAATTCTGTCTGGGATGGACAATATGGAATGTCTTTGGACTCAAACATGGCCATTATGCACTCTGAGGAGCTGTAGCGGGTATATTTACTCTGTAAAGCTCAACTGAAAACAAGATATATTACTACTTACAGATACTTCAATTCATAGTAGTGCTTATATGATTTCCCATTAAGATGTTAAGGACATTCATTTTTCTTTATTCAAAAAGCTGTATTGTCAGGATACTATAGGTGGTACTGCAATCTCCTGTTGAAGAAAAGATATTTTTTTTTTTTTTAATTGAGAAGTTGTCATAGTATGCTGCATTGGGGTAGGTTTTAAAATTAAGAATAATTGTCAAATGAAATTCCATCACATGTTAAATTAGCCAAGAACTAGTGCCGTTTTATTTTTGCCATTTTTATTTTTAATGAACTTTGTTTTAACCTTAAATAAATGATTTCAGGCTAAGGACTTTGTAATACTGCCAGCATAACTCATATCTGCCTTTCGTACTTGTTTTTTCCACCCTAGAAGCATAACTGTGTTGCATAAAAACTTGATGCATTTATTTAACCTAGTAATGCCAAACTGTTCAGAGCTGAATTGCTAGCATAATAATACCGGGTAAATGATGTCTTGTGTTGGCAGCTGTGCCATTTAGTCTAATTCTGGGATAGAGTCACACAACCTGTATAAACATAGCATTACCAGTGGGAATGCTGAGTTCCTGCTCCCCAAGATCTCTCCTTGCGTAGAGGACTGGGCAGGTCCTTAGCAATTAAAGGTGAGAGGCCAGCTCTGTAGCGTGTGGAAACTGCATCAGAGATGTGGTGGGACAACGGTTACAGTCCCTGCCAAAATGTCTGCTGAAGGTTAGGTAACCTGTTATATTTGCCAATCAAATGCTAGTCATTTGCTCTGTAGTTAAATGTAACGCTTAAAGAGCCTATTGTGGCATAATCTGTATTTGACATAGCCCATAACTAGTTGCAAATTGCAGCACTAATGCAGCGTGGATATCCTACAACCCTACTTGAAATACTTATTTGAACCTCAAGGACTCTTTTCAAAGATTTAGTGGCATTTTGGCCCGTAGGAAAGTGAGTTAAGGTTTCTGTTGTTCCTTGTTTCTCTTTTTTTCCCCTGTGAATGTATTAGATTTTTAAATATTTTTCTGGTATATTTTTTGGTAGTAATCGTCCATATTGCACAAACGTCCTTCTACATGCAAAGTTAAAATTTGAAAGTTTATGTATGTTTTCTAAGTTCCATCTATGATGTCTTCAGATTGTTTCCATTACTTCTGTCTCTTGCTTTCAAGAAATACTTAAGTAGCAATATAATTCATTCCAATGAAGCACGCTATCATGATTTTCATGTATGTGCTCTAAAGGAAATACCCATTTCAGGTATTGAGGGGAATAAAATTAAATGGTACAACTTTCAAGCCAGGGTTGGGGGGGGAGGAAATCTGTGAGCAAAATGTTTGTTGCATTGTTTTTGATTGGGGGGCGGCTGTTTGTTTGCTGTGAGGTTTAATGGTTTATTGTTTGGGGTTTTTTTCCCCTGGAAGACAATACCCCTTATTGTGCCACTTGAAATTCTCTGTACAGCAGTCCACCTGCTTATTCAGTAAACCACCTCAGAGTCAAGCGTTAATGTTTTCTTTCTTTAGATCATTTTTTTTCTGCATGCAAAGTAACCATTGTGTTCTGAAACAGCAATATTTTGAATTGTGGGGGGTAAGGAGGACAATGAAAAAGAAAACAAGTGCTTAAATCTAAGAGAGTACTTTTCTTAATATGTGGGCTTCTTAACACTGGGCTTCATAATTTTATTTTTTTTTCTTAAACACCCCTGCCTCTTCTTTTTTTTTTTTTTTTTTTTTTAAAACCTCCTTTGTAAAGCTTTTTCTTCCCATTCCCTAGTTTGGGTGCTTTCCTAAGTGGCAATGAATAAGCTCCTCTTTAAGTAGGCATAGATAAATTCCCTGAAGCACTCTTTTCCACTGTTTTGATGTTTAAGAGAGTTTTAGTGTAAAGGGAGGCTAAAATATTTCTCCATCTTCTTTTCTCCTCCTGTCAACAGTATATCTGTTGCTCAATTCAACATACCCAAATTAAAAGGATGGTTGGTAGGTTTTTATTTCTAATTTTGACTTACTAAAAATATAACTACATATACTTTTTTCTAGCTTTGATGTCTGTCTCTGTCTTTACTATCAAGAAACGTTCTTCAGTATACATATATAGTGTCCAGCACTTGCTAGCTCTTTTGAGGCTAACTGAATTTATGTATAAACTATACAAATGTATACAAAGTTGAGTGCAGAAGTTATATTTATTTACAGAGAAGGATATGAGGGATGAAAATAGTTTGGGGGGGGTTGGTTTTTAATCTTTCTTGCTTAATATATACATCTAAACACGACTGGAATAGGATATATTTATAACTTATAAAGGTAATATATTTTTCAATAAGTTATATTATATATCGTTACTGAGTGATCAAATATTTGTGTGTGCAGCCTAGTGTTAAATATTTTATTTCTCATATATTTTTCCTTGCAGATTTGTTCCTTACTACATCACCAGATTCACAAAACGTTCAGTTTGAGACATGGGTGAATAAGGTAAGAGAGAGAATAAAATAAGCATTTTGTTAAAACACAGACAAGTTTTTTTAAAAAAAAAAAACAAAACAAAAAACACACAGGTCATTTGATAGTCCTTGTTTCAGGAATGAGTAGAGCCAATGCTAAGGGGCGCTGACTGCACTATTGCATTCAGACTGTAGAGTATCACTGGAGAAGATCTTTTACTCAGCATTAAGTTTCTCTGCTGACTTTTTTTTTAACATGACTACTAAGTAAATCAATCGGCCTGCCTTCATACACCTTAGCAGGACTCCTCATGTGTCATCAGCTGCTCTAGGAGGTTACTGATGCTTGGTGTGATGACTTATGAAGAAAAGACTGATGGGGTTTTTTTATTATTCTGGCTGTCTCAAGGATTTGATATCTTTAAGCTTTCTTCTATCTATGACTTCAGGTCTTGGGTAAGATTTTGCGGGACAGAGGTTGAAAATCTCACTTCTGACCGTTACAATATGTACACAAGTTACAGTAGGGAAAATCCTGAGTCTTACGTTAACCAAATATCACAAATGCAATTCAAGGTTGGGGAGAAATAGGTCAATGGATTATTTTCATTTATTTATTTATTTATTTATTGAGGTTCTGCTTTTGTATTGCTTAACCTGGCCAAGGTCAGTGAAGAACCTCATTGTTAATTACAATTAGTGAAATTTATTGATTTGAAACTAAGTGTGCCCTTGGTACTGAATCTGTTATCCAAAAGCACTATAGTTAGGAATCTTAGCATGTGTATGTTAAAGTTTATTTTTTTGTTATAATAGCTAGCAGCACATTAACCACTTTCTAAGGAATGCATTTTTGAGGCATTATTTACCTGAAAATTTATCTATCATATCCCAGTGAGTCACTGTAGAACAGGGTATGTAGTCTTGTCTGACAATGTGGCTATCTTCAACCAGCTGCTGAACTGAAAATGTTAAAAAAAAAAAAAAAAAAAAAAAAAAAAAAAAAAAAAAAACAAAAAAAACCCACCACACCTAAAAAATAAAGATAAATAAATTACTAGCTACCAGATATTCTCCAAATACTTTTTTTTTTAGGCAAAAGTAATGAAAGCTGTATTTTTTTTTTAAAGTAGCGGGATGAATTCTATATTTCTAGCTTTTATATAGACTTAAAAATGAACAGTTTTTTTACTTGACGAATTTCATTCTTGAGGGATTGAGTGTAAGGACTGCGCAAGGCATTTGACTTGTCTCCTGTAGGCGTGGGGTGTTTTTCTTACAAATTTTGGATTTTCCAAACTCACGTATTCTAAATATTTTCCTGCATTATATGTTTTCCATGCATAGATTTGTTTATCTGTAGAAAGAAAGAATTCTATTTTTTGGAATCGATCAACACAGTAAAATGTCATACATCTAAAATATGGGTACATATGCATCAATCTTAAAATACTTTAATTGATCCATTAAAACACGTTAAATTGCTCTACAAACCTAAACAAAGTAATTCCCTTCACTGATGCACCATAAAATGCTTTTAAAATATTTGCTTATATGATATATGCTTTTCTGGCATATATCACACAGGGCCTAGTCATCTTTTCTGCATGGCGATGACTTACATCATTTTCTTTTTCTTATCTGAGTCATTATAAATTCTTCGTCAAGGTAAAGAGATATAGTCAAAGATCCACATCCTAGCTGTCTCCAGAGTTGCATCTTCAACAGCACTGAAGTCTGCAAACTGAGTATAACGCGAGTAAGCAATATGGATGACTATATGTAATCCACAAAACGGTATCATTTGTCTCAACGGCTTTATGTCTACTCGTGTGCTCACTTTATATGCGCTGATTGCAGCGGCGAGAAAAGTGGGCCTTAGGTCATCTTACTTGCTTACAAAAATTTAATGTTTTAAATGGTTTTGTTTCAGTTGTGATCCGGTTCTATGATAGACAAAGATCCAGCGCTCCTCTTTTGTCTTTCTGATGAAATACTAAATATCTTTTTCTGCGGGCCTAGGTTTTAATAATAGGTGATTAAAACAAGACCTAAACCAGGCTTAATGTAAAATAAAGTTATTTCCTAATTAGGATGAAAATCACAAGCTACTTTTAACAGGTATATATTGCATATCTATAAAATCACAAGTCAGTATGTAAAAATGCACATTAGCATTCATAATCACTTAATTATGATTTAGATTGTGTTGCTGAGAACCCAATCTCTTCCTCATAACACAGCAAAATATATGGACAATTGTATCTGAAAATTACTGTTACTGCATTTCCGTAAGATTCCATGAAGGATTAGAAATGCAAAAACTCAGCCCCAATTTTCAGAGTGCATTTTTTCCCATAGTTGAGGTGTCTCTCTATTATCTACTGAAGTGCTTTTTTTATTGGCATTTCTTTGGTTCAAAAGTCAAATCTTGTCACTTAGTCTGCAATTCAGTTTTTCCTTCATCTTTGTCCTGTTTGATAGGATGGGAACTTCTCCAAAGCTGGAAAAAGTAAGAGAATGCCTAGTGGTGTGAAAGTTGTTGGACAGTCTGTGTTTGCAGATTTTGGTGAGTTTTATTCTTCTAAACTATCCTGAGTGTTTCTTTGTTTTTTCGTGTTTTGGTTAGCTACTCTAAATCAAAGAACAAATAAAGATGTCTAGCACTAAAAGTTTGGGCTTTTCTTTTTTTTTTTACCTTTTTTTTTCTTTAAGGTGTTATATCTATTTGTCTGTAAACTTTGAAATATCTGGGAATAATTATAATTAAATTCAACTTTGGCTATCCCAGTACATTCTGCATCATGTGTATCTGCTTGAGGGCCACACCTAAGGACATGTCCTGTTGCTTTGAGGCATAGTACAACACCAAACTTACTTTTATCAGACATGCGTTTTGTCATGATTTTGTTTTTTCCCTAATCTCATTCGGAACATATTATTCAACTGAACGTTCATAAATTCTTCACTTGTACAAACTAATAAAGCCAAAATGTAAATGAATTAAAATGACCTGTATAAAGATTGATGAAACTTGGTAAAATCTTAACGGTTGTAATTGAAAATTCTGGAAGGCTTTTGGACAGAACAAAAGCTTAATTTATATGTAAATCTATTTTTGCAAGGGTTAATGAAAGCCTGTAATTTTTCTATTAGAATTTTTCAGTCAATTGTGCCTTATCAATGTGCGTGTCATGTTACAAACAGGAAATGTTGGGTTTGTAGTCCAAAAAACCCCTTTTTTCTGTGTACTAAAATAAGAATTTTGCAAGCCAAGGGAAGGTGCTGCAGGCCTCATTCTGCTGACACTATTGAATGTAAATAACTTCTTGAAGAGCTAATTTACTGTATTTATACAACACGCTTGTTAATTGTGAGACTGAGCTGGTCTTAAAATGTTGTCAAATGGTAGCCTTGCTGCGTCTTTTTGATTTAAAATCTGTTTTAAATAAACTGACAATTTTTAAAATTAAAAGTCAAACTCCCTATTAGACCCAGAGTCTGACTTTTTTGTACTGTGCTGCCACTTAAAAGTATTTTGAAGAGTTCTAGCAAAGCTGTTTACTGATGTGTAACTAGAAGACGCCTCTGCTGGATAGTTCATTATCCTTAGATCCTTATCTAGCAACTATGGATGGGTTTACAGATCTATAGTAAATGAAATAAGGTAGAAACAGAACAATGCTCTAGGTTCTTCTGTGAAACGTGTAACACATTTTCTAAAATCTTTGTAAAACTCTTTATAAATCTTTTACTGTTTATCTACAAACATAAACAGTTGTGTGTATAATATCTGAAGGAAAGAATACTGGGTTTTGCAGTTAAAAAAAGTTTTGGGTTTTTTGGTAACCATTTTCCAAGCTGATGTTCTGAATAATATGTCTTAATAGGTACTAAGTAGAAATCAGATTATTTTTTTTTATGATGGCAACATGCAAAGCAATCTTTATGTAGGATAATTTCATCTTTATGTTTGGTAGCTAATGAGCCCAAATGATATATCATCATTCTAGAAATTTATAATTAATGGAATTTTAATAAACCCTGCGATATCTTTGCAAAGCGAAGTGGAACTGTTGAAATGTTTAAGTTAAAGTTTTGCAAATGTGAATGAATTGAATGCGCAACGATCTAGCAGTGCAGTACACTGTGGCTTTGGTACAGCCAAGGTTATGAAAGACAGTGGCCAGGACAGCTAGTGCAGCCGCCAGGTCAGCTGTTGTGAAGTTCTGTCACCAGTTGTTTGATACCCTGCTCTGCTAATTATTGTCAAATCCATAGGCAGTGCACTAGTGTGAGGCAACAGTGGAGCAATCTTTCTAGTCAGAACAAATATAATGGGAGAAAATGCATGTAGGGACTTAAGAAATGCATACAAATAAATGTAGAGGGACAGCATATATGGCAAAGTGGATAGAGAGACAAAGTATCATCTATGGGAGGAGATGCTGGCTTTTCAGAAGCTGACTTTTTGGAACTGGTTCTTCTGAAAGATCTCAGCCATTTCATCTCCAAGAGAGAACACCCCCACAGATCTTGCAGTATGAGCGTCTTGCTTTCTCTTCCTGAACAGCTACATACACGCTGTCATCTTTATCTTCATTCCAGATCACTCAAGTTCTTCCAGGGTGAAGGATGGGAAATGCTTTAATGGTCTTTCTGCCCATTAATTTCCTAAGTGAGTGTAAGGAGTGCTAGAAATGTGTATTTTGATAGAGGAACAAAGTTTATTCTGACAACTATGGAAATACTTATAACTATGATTTCAAAATTACTATTTGAGTACTATTACGACTTTAATCTTTCTTTTGTTGTAACAGTGGGTAGGAAATAGAGTAGTGAATCTTTTTTTTTTTCCTTTATCTTCCCAACATTAATTTAAAATAATCAAGGCAACAATAGTTATTTTCTCATTGAACAAAGTTTTAGAGAATATTGAAGTGAATATAGTACTAAAACGATGTGAGTAATGAAGGAATATAACTTTAAACTGCATGTTCTTTATGAAAGGTAGTCTGAAGGAAACCGAATAATACCAGACCACCATCAAAAAAATCTTACCTACAGCTAAATAGTTCTGTGTAGGAGCAGCAATACAGTAACTGGTAGGAGGAAAAAACCTTTATTGCCAAGGACGATCCTAGTTGAGTTCTGCTCATATTCATTTTCCTTCCAGTATTTTTTTTTGCTCTGCACCAGTCTAATAATAGAGGCAAAAACTCACATTAGTAGAATAACACTGTATCAGAATAACTACGTTTACCCAGTGTGCTATGTCTGCATATGTTTAGATACCTTCAAAAGATAGGCATTTATCATACAGATTTTGCTTGTAGTAAGCTGAAGTTAAAGAAAATGCCTTACTAGAAATGGTTTGTCGGACTTGAACATCTCCTTTTTTTCAGTTTTCCCTGTTTCAAAAATGATGAAATAATGATTATCATAAGTCAAAGGAAATTAAGGTATGATGGTTTGCAGTTTGAAGTAGTAATATGGCCATCTGTAATGGGGCCTGAACAAAGTTTTATTGCACAACAAATCGAAATAGTACAATGAAAATGTAAAATGAGTTGCATTAGGAGATTGCACTACTTTCTACCTAAGTAGCTTTTGCCAAACTGCACGTGATCCACTAAGCAGAGCGTACTATAGTGCTGTCACCCTGCTGTCTGCGTGCCGCAAGCATCTTCACTGTTGCCACTGGGATACGGCTTCTGTGACCAGAAACACGGTCGATATACAGTCACAAGCCTGTTACATTCATATTTCTGTGTTGCCTGCCTCTCTTTTCTTCCCTTTTGACATTTTCTGTGCCTCATAGCTGATGTGCCAGCCTTGCCGTTCTCTAAAGGTCTCAAAGGATTCTGTGTTTCTCTGTGCTTTCACTCTCTGCCACTTCTCGTTTACTTAACCTTGTGCGTATTAGACTCTGGAATGATGTCAGGTCCAGACATGAGCTTGGGAGTATGTCGCTTGTGCTGCCGCCCTCTCGTTTACTCCCACCTTTCTCTTTGTACACTGTTGCACTTCTGCAGTCCAAGATTCCGATTCACTGATCACACCTACATTTTAGCAAAACATGGCTTGTTTCAAAAGGTGACTTTGTCTAACATTACTTCCTGCTTCCAAAAGTTTTATTTGAAATACCCTTTCCAGCCACAGGAAATTTGAAGGAAATTTCCATTCCATTTGAAGGAAAAAGAGCTTTGAATAAGATCCTGACTGAGACTCTCTAAAGGCAACTAATTTTTGGTAAGGTTTTCTTTCTTAAGCTAGGCAGGTCGAACAACTGCTAGTAAGTAGAAATTGTTTAGATAAATGGAGCTGGAAAAAAAAATGAACAATTAGGTGATTCATGAGAAACTGTCACAGGCAGGCTGCCCAGAGAGGCTGTGGAGTCTCCCACTCTGGAGACATTCAAAACCCGCCTGGACGCTGTCCTGTGCAACTGCTGTAGGTGACCCTGCTCTGGCGGGGGGGGTTGGACTGGATGAGCTCTTCCAACCCTGACTGTTCTGTGATTTCTGTATGTTAGTGTATCCATAGCACCAAGTCTTCCTGAAGACTTAAATAATAAAGGTTTTTTTAATGAAAAAGATATGCAAATGCATGTTTGTATACATCTTTATATATGTATTTGTAAGGTCTATTACATTTCTGTATATACGTGTGCGTGTGTATTTTAATGAAAAAATATGCAAAAGCAGGTGTGTATGTATATAAATATATTTATGGTAACATAGTAGACCTTAGGCTTTGTCTAAACTGGAACCTTAAAAATAAGTAGCACTCCCCCGTGTTACATGATAGCAATGATTTGTACATTAGCCTGACCAAAGGACACTGAACAATTGACAAATTTGTATTGCCCTTTTAAAAATAAATCAGAAATGCTTTGTGACATATTTATTACAAATGGCATTTCAATTGATTAAGGTGAGCAGAGCTGGGCACTTGAGAATTCTGCACTTACTTGGCTGACACATTGCTCCAAACAAATAAGAGCTCTTCATTATTACTTTTTCTATTCTTCTCATGTCACTATGGTAATTGCAGTGCAGTGGTTGCTATAGCAAAAATGATTAATCCTCCGTTGTTGTTATCTGTATGCCAGCAGAGGCTTTTTATAAGGTCTGCTTGTGCTGTCTTTAGAGGAAATCATAGATGTTGGCTAGAATTTTGATAAATACTTGCAGTTATAGTTTTAAGAATTGGCACTTAAAAAAGTGGAACATGTTGTATTTGTTAAAGAAATGTAAGGATTTCAGTGGGACGTTCTGAAAATTTCTAAGTTTGTTCAGTAACAAGATGAATGTGAACCATATTTTGGACACGCAAACCTGCTATTTTCTTGCTACGTTGAAGATTAGTGAAATATATCTTTAAAGTAGTGACCCAAAACAATTAGTATAGAGTATTGTGCTGTTTACACAGTCCATTAACTCATTTTTATAGGAAGTTAACGTTATAACTGCTATTCAGCTCTGGTTGGTTCAGTTGGTTTAGTGGAGATTGATAAATCATCCTTTGTGATAGGTGTTCTAAGAATGTAAAAGTTTGATTAAACAC